TGTGTGTGTGTGTGTGTGAGTGTGTGTGTGATGATGAGGCTTTGTGTCTGCAGTTACAGAACATCGCAGAGAAGGACAATAACCTGATGCCCATCGGTCGGCCCATCTTTGAGGTGAGAACAGTGTGGCGATGAGATGCGATTCCTGTCACTGGATGAGTGTGTAACGTCTGCTTTACCTTCCTGAAAGACCTTCGATGAGGAAGAGGAGGAGGACGATGAAGATGAGGAGGACAGCGAGGAAGACTCAGAAGATGATGAAGACACACACTCACACACACACACACACACACACACACACTTTCTCACACACACACACACACACACTATCACACACACACACACACGATCAAATGAGCTTTCGAATCAAAAATACATTCATGTATATAATCAGTAATGCTGCTTCAGGTCATAAAAGATCAATCTGAAAATATTTAGGAAATTTTAACATATAATATAATTATTAATTATTCCATTAATTATTCATATAAATATTAGTGGGTCTCATTCACTAATAATTATGTGGATTATTTCATATTTATATGCACAGGAGAACTTTTTTAATTTTTGCATATGTAGTTTCAGTTGTTCTCACATCTTCCCATAAATTTAGAATACATTTTAGTACAAAAGTTATTGGTAATCATAATTTGTTTAAAAAAAAACATTTGTACACAGATTTAATTTAGATTTTTAATTTTGTGCTTATGCACCAAGATTATTATAGTTAACAAAAACTAGAACTCAAACTTTCATTACTTGTAATAAAATTAACTGAAATAAAATAAAGGGTAAAGAAAAAATTCTCATTTTCATTTAGTTTAACTTGTATGTACTAAAATAACTAAAACTCAAATAAAAATTAATAAAAACTATACAGGTATATAAATAAACTAATAAAAATGCCAAAAAATACACAACAAAATTACTAAAACTTTAACAAAAATGAAAATGGAAAATTATAAATATAAAAATAATTCAAAATATTTTTTAATATTTTAATATATGTAATATTTTATAAATTAATAAAAAACTATAATAGTATCTCAATGATACTAAAATAAAACAGTTTTATACATGCTTAGTCAATGAGACCCATTGATTTTCATTTTAAATCTATTAAAATATGTAAAGTGATTTTTTTTTAACAACAGCTTACGTAACTTAAAATCAGAGTCTTTCGCTGTTGACGTGACAAACACTGATGTGACTCGTCAGCTTCAGTTTTGAGTTGAGCTGTGAGTTTTGATTGTCACTGACAGGTCGACATGGAAGGAGCCGATCAAGACCAGGACCAGTGGATGATCTAGACCAGATCCATCAGATGTGCCTCAGTGTGTTTGTGGTGTTGCTTTTCAAAGGCTCTGTGCATGAAGAACTACGATGAACCGGACAGAAACGTCTGTGTGCAGCTGGACTCTCAACACACACACACACACACACACACACACACAAAAAAACACTCTCTCACACACACACACACACACACAGATCACGAGACATTGAGCGTTCAGTGTTTCTGAAGAGAAACTGCTCTCTGTGTTTCTGATAAACGCAGCACTTGTCGCAGCATGAGCTTCTGTCACTGTTCAGGATTGTAGAAACCGTACAGTGACTCTTTGGCTGATCACGTTACTGAGTTACTGGCTCTTTCTGCACGATATCAAACATGTGTCACGTCTAATTGACGGCTGTTATCGTGTGTTTATCAACCTCTGACAGGACTGAGAAACTAGCAACAACTTTGAGCTCTTTGTATCGTAATACTTCTTTGTGGTTGTAAATAAATTTGTAGTCAGTTATTCATATTGTATTATTTGTCAATTTTCCGTCCCATTTGAATAGAATCAGCTGTTTATGTTCATCATTCAAGAGTTGAAGGCTCTTTTCCTCCTCAGATCCTCAGACAAGTGGATTATCAGAAAGGAACTAGTGCAGATGTGGGCGTGGCTCTCAAGTGTATGCAGATTAGAGTGGGCTCAGGGGGCAGAGCTTAAGAACACTTCAACATTATGATGTCAAATAATAAAAAATAAAAAAACATGCAGGGTTGAATTGTTCACAGTAAGTTCTGTGAGATGCATTTAGAGACTGGATGGGGTGAATTTTTATTTCATGCCAACTTTAACATAAATTACAAGAACATTTACTGACTTTAGTCTGACATTAATCAACTTTATTTTTAATACTCCGTTAAAAACATTTCTTATCTCTGGCTGCCTATGTATTTTAACTGTATATAAATTGCTATATTTAAATATATATATTACATATATTTCTTAAATGAACTGCAATTCATATATTTATGTAATTATACATATATAAATACATATACATTACATTAAATTCTGTTTCATAAAGAAAGATGAATTAAAAGAAGGGTGTGAGGGATAAAACTACTATCAGTTCAGTGGTTTCAAGTTTTAATTTATAAAACTCTTCCAGGGTTTTTGAAAATATTTTACATCACGTTTTCACCAGAAGGTCTAGTTAGTTATTACATTTGAATAAAACATGAGGTTAAAAATATGTGACCCTGGAGCACAAAACCAGTCATAAGGGTCAATTTCTCGAAATTGAGATTTATGTGTCATCTGAAAGCTGAATAAATAATCTTTCCATTGATGTATGGTTTGTTAGGATAGGACAATATTTGGCTGAGATACAACTATTTGAAAATCTGGAATCTGAGGGTGCAAAAAAATCTAAATATTGAGAAAATCATCTTTAAAGTTGTTCAAATGAAGTTCTTAGCAATGCATATTACTAATCAAAAATTAAGTTTTGATATATTTACGGTAGGAAATTTACAAAATATCTTCATGGAACATGAGCTTTACTTAATATCCTAATGATTTTTGGCATAAAAGAAAAATGTATAATTTTGACCCATACAATGTATTGTTGGCTATTGCTACAAATATACCCCAGCAACTTAACACTGTTTTTGTGCTCCAGGCTCACATATGTATATGCACAGATGAATTGTTCATAAAATCAGTAAGATTGATTTAGAAAATAGATGTGGTGAATTTTTATTTCATGCCAACTTTAATTACCTGTGGATCTCACAAATCCTCAAAACATCATGTTTCATGTCTTTCCTGTAGCTCAAACTCTTAACTCTGTTCATCACCCTGATGATTCACGTTAGTGAACGAGGATCAAATAAGTGAAAGCTGTCACTGTAAGCGTGGCACGAACAGTTCATAGCGTCACATTAACATCCTGTAAGCGTGTGTTTTACTTGGTCCCGAGGAAGGTGAGCTCGGCCATGAATGATTTCTGAAGATCATGTGACACTGAAGACTGGAGTAATGATGCTGAAAATACAGCTGCGCATCACAGAAATAAATTACAGTTTAACAGATATTCACACAGAAAACAGCTGTTTTACATTCTAATAATATTTCACTGTTTTTACTGTATTTTCGATCAAATAAATGCAGCCTTGCTGAGCAGAAGAGACTTCATTCAACAACATTAAATCTGAATTATTCCAAACTTTTGACCAGTATCAGTCAACCATTATTGTGTGTCAATTAATAATTTATAAAGTAAGTAAAGGAAGAAAGATAAATGAAGGCAAGTATGTAAAGGGATAGATGTACCATCTGTTCAATGGGTTTACCGTCTTTTTATAAGAGCTTTTTGTCAAGTGAAAGTGTTTAAATAAGTACAACATACTGAACTGAACGTCTGTGTGGATGCGTGTCATTAAAACACCCTCATGTGTCTCATGAACTCACCATGTCTTCATCAAAACCTGCCAGCCGGATGATTTTCTCAGCCACCTGAGGGTTTCTCTCGTCCATCTCCATGGAGTAAATGCGGGTGCCGATGGGCAGCGAGCGGGCGATGCGGACCGTGCTGTAGCCGCAGTGAGTGCCCAGATCCAGCACCGTGATGGTGTTCCTGCAGCAGCCGGTCCAGAATCTTACCTGTGTGACAGCCAGTCAGAACATACCTGATGCTTAATTGAAGAATGAACCCCATTTATTCAATTCATGATTATGTACTTATGATTTTAAAAGACAATATTAATATCCAAGAATATTATTGATTTGACTGCACTGACACTATTGTATGAATCACTTTTTTACAAAACAGATTGTGTCAAAGCAGCTTCACATAGATAAACTGGAAATAGCAGAAGCAGTTACGATATTATCAATCTTGTAAGTAAATAAGCTCATAAAGTCATTTCTGCTGTGCTGTTGGGAAATGTCTGAACCTGTTGATGCTTTATTTGTTGTTTATTTACCCACTGTATCAAATAAATACCTAGGGTTGTGTTTGTTTTCTAAGAAGAGCGGAAAAGTAAGCAGTTTTAGGCCTTTCTGTAGGTAGAAATACTATCCTTCCATGCAATGCAAAATACCTCTGGTTTTGTTTTCTTGCAGCTGCGCTTCATGAGAACAAAACTTGAACTGAAGTGATCTGAATAATGACACTATTGTCTTTTGTAGAGCTGCTTTATAACTGAAATTGAAGTTGTTTCATAATTGATGATTTTTGCAACATTAACAGTTATTTTTCTGTTTATTACTGTGAAGCTGCTTTGAAACGATCTGTATAAAGTGCTAGAAATAAAGGTGACTTGACTTCAGTGAAATAGCTTTCCTTTTTTACTGACAGTTTCTACAATTTCTAAAATGTTTTAGAGCTTTTAAGTCATTTTGTTGGCCCCTGGTTAAAGGCCTGTTCACACCAAGCACGATAACTATAAATGATGAATGAATGATGCATTTATATAGCGCTTTATTGTGTATTTTTGGACACCCAAAGCACTTTACAATCATGTGGGGGGGGGGTCCTCTCCCACAACTATAAAGATAACGATAAAGATATAGTTCTAAAAATCATTCTCAATATTAAAGAATAGCATAGTTCACACCACAACTATAACGATACAGAGGAACGATATCGTTGTGATCACTTTCAAAACTATTTTTTCCAGCTGATGAACGATAAAACACTGACAGCCAATCAGAATCCATCCTGCTGTAACGAGCTCGAGAATTTAAAGCGGCAGATGCATGTGTGCTTTTGAATAAACAGACAATATCGTTCGCTGGTGTGGACGCTAATATCATTATCTTTATAGTTATCGTTCTTGGTGTGAACGGG